GACATTTTCCATAGTCTTCCTTTTGACACTTCTGCACTTATAAAAGGCCATCTTATTTTAATGTTCCTCACCAGATTCAATTCCATCTTGGCTTTAGCTTTTCTGACTGCATCTCTGCATGCTTGGACAGTGTCTCTGTATCCCTCCCAGGCTACCTGTCCCTGCTTCCACCTTCTGTACACCTACTTTTTGTGTTTGACTTGGACCAGGGGCTCCTTGTTCATCCATGCAGGTCTGCTGACAGTTCTGCCTGACTTTCTGCTCATTGGGATGCAACACTTTTGAGGCTGGAAAAGGTGATCCTTGACTCCACCAGCCTTCCTGTACCCCTCTCTCTTCCCTCCAGGGCCTTATGCCACAGGACTCTATCAATACTATCACTGAAGAGGCCAGAATTTGCACTCCTGAAGTCCAGTGATATGATCTTACTTTCTGCCCTACTTTTTTTCAGGACCCTGAAATTCACCATCTCATGGTCACAGCAGCCAAGACTGCTTGTGACATTGACATCCCCCAGGAGCCTCTGCTTGATGAATGAGGTACAGCAGAGCACCTCTCCTTACTGACTCCATCACTTGGGTCAGGAAGCTGTCAACCAATATTCTCCAGTAACCTCTTGGATTGCTCATGCCCTGCTGTGCTGTCCCTGCAGCAGACATCATGGTGGTTGAGGTCCTCCTACAAGGACCATGGGCTGTGAGCATGAGGCTACTTCTAGGTCTTGGTAAAAGGCCTCAGCTACTTGTTCTTGCTAGTCAGGTGGCCTACAGCAGACACCTACCACAGTGTCATCCACATTGTTCTGCTCTTTGACTCTTACCCACAAGCACTCAGTTGGCACAACAGCCATTCCTAGGCAGAGATCCAGGCCTTCCAGCTGTTCACCCACACAAAGCACAACTTCCCCTCCCTCATCTTGCCCTGCCTTTCCTAAAGAGCCAATATCCCTCCATTGCAGCATTCCACTTAGGCAAGCCATCACATCTCCATGATCCCAACAAGATCATATTCCTACAACTGCACAAATGTCATAACTCCTCATGCTCCTTGCACTACTATGTACATGCACTTCAGATTCCACACTGATTTACCAGAAAGGAATTTGGGATACTCAGACTTGCTTACATCCAACAAATGCTAGATGTGACCCTGCTATAGCCTCCTTTTGTCAACATTATGTTCCTTTTCATACACATCACTCCAGGCCCCTTTGCTCATCAACAATGTCCATCACTCCCTCACAGTGCTGCTCTCACTCTCCCCCTCCCATGTCGACCCTAGTTCAATGCCCTCCTTACCAGCTCAGCCATGCTGCTGGCAGAGGTACCTCTTCTGCTCCCCTTACTAAGATGGACCTCATCTCTCCCAAGCAGTTCTTTGCATTCACAGAATTAGAATTACAAGCCTGCACTTGTGTAAACCAGCCTAAAGAATGCTTCCCCTTTAAAAGCAGCTCTCTTCCATATCACTCCTGCTATTCAATACACATCTAGCTGAAGAGCAGCCAACTCAAAACATTGTCCCACCACTCCAACATGCATTCTCAATGGATTCATCTAACAGATTTCATGCAGTAAAAATCCTGTAAACCCCTGAACGACGAACCATCATCACTCCAAGACCTCAAACTCTAGAATCAGCTTCAGCTGAAAACTAAACACATTAAATATTCCATTAGCTCACACAACATCTCACGCTAGAAGGGACTCATAGGGCTGGAGTCCAACATCCTGCTCCCCACAGGACTACCTAAAACTATGTCATATGACTAAGAGCATCAGCCAGATGCTCCCTGAACTCTGAGCGACACTCTTAGCTATTCTAATTAAAATACTTACTGACAGAGGGTAAAGTCAGGGCTTGCTTAGGTACTGCCTTAGGGAACGTCACCATACCTTAGCAGACAGGGCAAACATTCCCATCGCCTCTGATATTACCAAGCCAGGAAACTAAGACAACTGCTGAAGAAATTCAAGAAGGTATTTCCTCTTGAAAATGATTTAAGGCAAGGCATGGCCTGATAATATGGCCAAACTAGAAAGCAGTTAACTGAAGTGACCAGGATTTAAATTACTCTCTTGCTAGAGGACTCAGTCCAACTCAGTACACAAACATATGTATCAGCACAACTCAGTGCTGCAAACTGATCCTTATTTTAAGCTGACTTCAGTATCAATGATGCCACATCTCAAAACCACCCAAGATTTTTTTTCATATATGCTAACAGCTAATAGAGAAATTTTTATGAAAAGGTCTTATCCTAAGCAGTGAATGTACTGTCTTTTTGTCTGAAGTACCAGCACAGGAAGGAAGTTGGCAAACTGTTTTTTTCTTCCTATATTTATTTAGAAAAAGGGTACACAAATTGTCCCCATTTTTCAACATCAGGAAAAGTTACCTATGACACTGAAGAACAGGAAAACTTCCTTGCAAACAAAATCTTTACAAGATTTTTCAAGGGCAGATGAAATATTTACAGTCATCATTTCAGACACTGTCCCTTAAATGGCAAGCTCTTCCCAGAAGCAAGACAGCAAGCACTTTCTTCCTTCAGCCTGCTGCCTTGTGCTGTGTTGTCTAATTACAGTGCTGTCCATTGAGATTCTGAGTTGAAATCCACAAGGAAAAGAAAAAGCTGAACTAAATCTAGAAATGGTGATTCTAGAGCATTGGAGCCAGAGGAGGAAGATGGAGAGGTAGCAAGTTACACAGCCATTGATACCACCCAAAACAAATGATAAATGATTTTATGAGTTCAGAATACTAGCTGACTAAACTCAGGACACCAATGTAATTTCAGAGGTCAGAGAGATTTTATCGTATGGCAGTGACTACATTCAGATTATTTCACCAGCACTTAGGGCCCTCTCTAGAAGAAAACAGGAATTCTCATGCAAATTAACCATAGGTTATAAGGAAGAAAACACAGCACCACTCACATGAAGTATTTATCCAGTTAATTTCTGATAAACATAGACAATAGTAAAATACTCACAAACTCCAAAGGTAACTACAAAGGTAGCTGCACTTGTGTTTGTGTTTCAAGCATTACACTGTTTGGTGCAGATATGTACAGCTAATTTGACAGCAATTACAGTGACCTCTCTTGTGCAACACCTGGTTTAGGGATTGACATTTTAGCATTTATTATGACTTTTGAGGAGTGTTTGTGTGTACCTTGTGCAAATATCACGCAGTTAACTCACTACTGTCAATCAAGTCTAAACAGGAATGCAAACTTAGTCCTGTATTTTAAACAACCTGAAATTTGTCTCCTAAAAGCTCCATTGGTTTGATTTTATTGGGGGAAGTGAGGGGTGGAGAGGGGCAACACAGCAGAAAAAACCAAGGAATAAGTCAAAGCAAGCAAACAAACAAACAAAACAACAACAAAAAAAAAAAAAAAAAAAAAAAAAAACCAAAAAAAAAAGGAAAAAAAGAAAAAACCAAAACCCACCAAACTGGACAAAAAAGACTACTAGTAAAGCATCCAACCTCACTTTTGACATGCATTTATTTTGGATATACATACATGTATCAAAACATGAAACCCAAGTTTTAGACTTGCACCACAAGCTGCATTCACATATGTATACTAACCTTGATTCAAGTATGTAAGAGTTTCGTCATATAATTTTACTGCTGGAGATGTTGCAGCACACATAACATACTGGAAGGGTGGATGTTTGGTCTCATTTTCTTGTGGAAGGCTGGAATCTTCCTGCTTGAAAATAGGCAGTGCCAAAACATCACTGAAAAGAACAAAACAAATACTTTTGTGAGACTGTTGGCCCGAAGTTAAAGGGGTAAAAATGTTATTTGTGACTTAAAAAACCCACAGTGAAATCCATATACACCTGTGTCACTCTGTTTATTAGTGAAACCTATGTGAGCAGTATCCGAAACATTTTCCACCAGAACTTTAGGCTAGGCTACAGTGCCCTGGGACCTAAGCAGACAATAAATAAAACTGTGCTGATCCTCTGAAAATTTAATCTTTGGTTCTTGTCTCCACCAAAAGAAAAAAAAGACCCAGTTTTGTCTTAACTTTTCACCTGTCAGTGTATGCAAGTTTGCCTAATAAACAAGCAGATGAAAGGCATTTACCTTCTTCTTTGAAATAATGTATTCCCCAAAGCAAGTTACCTACACTATGCAAGTATTTGTCTCCCCACTTAGTATCATTAGATCTAACCTATTAATTCTGTTGACATTGAAGATTTTTCAATCTTCACTTTTCTTAGGCACACTGAATAGCCCAAAACAAGTTCTAGTAAGTTTCTGCCAAGATTCACTTCACTTATGTGAGACCTCATGAGCACTAGAAAAACTTTGGAACTGCTAAGTTTCTGAAAAGTAAAGAGCAATCAACTCTGTCCACAGGCTGTGGTAAGAAAGACAGCTTCACCACAAGCAGCAAATACATCTGCTTTCTAAAGAAATTAATATTCTGTATTAGCAATAGGTTAGTTTTCTTTCTATACAGGAATCCTTCATAAATAAAACTTCAAATATAGTTTTTCTTGCATTGAATTTTGGTTCATGATGAAATAAATCTGCAGATCTATCAAACTTCCACTGAAAATCAGTTTCTACACTAAATTAACATTTCTCACACCACCTCACCTGTTGACTCATTTTTTAATCTACATGTATCTTGATTATTTCTCTTGCATTGATCACAATCATATATTTAATATACTTTGTAAAAGAATTATAAATGTCTCATCTGTATTGCATTATTATTTGTACTTTGTACCCTAAAACTTTTGAAGTAAAATTTTTTCTCTGCTCCTCATTTCTACGAGAGACAGATTTATTTAAAGACAGCTCTAATTCCTCAAGAATTCCAGCTTATACCTGGAGAATCAAAAAGTGTCAGTATCTAACAATTTAAAAGCAAAATTAGAGCCGATATTTTTGTGTCACAGGTTAGAGCCTAGACTTGGTCTACATAAGTATTAGGTATGTGGAGTGCAGCTGGGACACCCCAATCTTCCTGTCAGAGAAAGTGCCACATACAGCAAGGTGAAGGCCAACCACATCCTATTTCATTCCCATGGCTACCTGGAAGAAGTTATACTGACCTGAAAGAGAAAATACTTATGAATGGTGAAAAGGTCTAAGAGATTTGTCTGTACCTTGTAGAGACTGTACAGTCTCTCCCCAAAATAGCAGCTAGCATTAAAAGGAGAGGCCAAAAAAAAAAAACCACCCATGCAGGTTCCTTTCCACTAGGAAGAAACCACAGGAGTTGCTACAGAGGCATGAAAGCAGAACATGGCAAGACACTGTCCAAAACAGCAGGACAGCAGCACAAGCCTGCTTAACCATACCCTAACTACTTCTGCTATCAGATCCCCAGACTGGAGCACAGACAAGGCTTAACTAGTTACAAAGGAAGATGATGTGAAATATCCACTTAGGAGAAGTGGACACTCTTAAAACAGTTTACTTCTGTAGAGAAAAGGAGTGCCACATCCATGAGTAGGACAGAAAATTCCACAGATCAGTGACTGACTGCTCCTCGAGGATGACTCAGAAGGCACAAGGAGATGCTTGATGTCTTGATGTCCATCAGAGGGAGCGCCGCGACACGCAGAGACAAGTGTGGTCCCAAGACAGGACAGCAACTGCTAGCCCAGGAACCCAGGCTCACCACACACCTTGGCACACAGAACACTAGTGCTTTTATGAAAAGGAACTTTAAAATGAAAGAACACGGAAACAACAGCAGTGTTTAAAATACACACATAACAGCTGAAGTGCAAAGTATCTCACCAGATAAATAACCCGTAATTCTGGACCAAGTTCTGCAGCACTTGCCTTCACATAACACACAAGATTAAACATAGAAGTCTTCCGTGTATTTAGGAAAAATCTCTTTCAAGCCTTCATTTTCCACCCACAATTTAAAGATAAAAATGTAGCTGGTGTGGCTTAAGAAAGTGGGATGTGGTTAACAACTCAGTGAAGAGACAAGGCACTGGAAGCCAACAAATACAAATGGAAGACCAATTTAGACAGCTTTAAACCTGCTTTTGCTAATACTTACAAAGTGGTAATGACTAACTACCACTGCAGAAGCAGAAGAAAAAATAAAAAAGACATCCAACTCCTCAACCCTACAATTTATCTGTAAAGAGAGCATGATGTTCATTCTTAAATGCCACCATTCCAAAAAAGAACTCCAGAAAACAGCACAAGGCAAAATCTTATTCTGTGTCTTCTGGGTACTAGTACATTCCAAAGGAAAAGAGAAGTGAATGCAATTTAAACTCCTTCTTAGACTATATTTAAACAAATATCATTTCAACAACAACATTTTGATTTGTTCACTCATAAAGAATGAAATATCAATGTTTCCACATTTCAACATACCTTACTGACTATTTTAACTGCTTGCAGCTTTTATCTGTTTTTTAGGTGAGGAAAAAGTGTATGTGCAAAATATTTCAAATTAAGATTTTCATGTGTCAGTGAAAGAAATGCTCACAGATTTAAAATGAAATTATAACCTTCCATGTTGGATGAAGCCTTGAGCAACCTGGTCTGGTGGGAGGTATCCCTGCCCATGGCAGGGGGGTTGGGACTAGATGGTCTCTAAGGTACATTCCAACCCCTTAATTTGCTATGATACTATGATTTAGAATCAGCTATTAATTCCTCTTAAAAAAAAGGTGATGTACATTTTCTGGCTTTCAAAAAGGAAGCTGCCATGAAGTGACTGGTCTATCCTTCAGTCACCATTGTACAGCAACAGAGGATGACCAATTTTATCCAGGAACCATGAAGTTATGGTTCAGCAACACAAAAGGTCTTCTGGGCAGTGCTGGAATAAAGAATTTCTGCCTTGTAAGCTGCTCTCTTCCTACCCTTTCCCTTTGCACACTATTTTTCTGGGCTAGGTTGGGATCTCCATCAGTTCAAAGCACAAACCAAGAAACAGCTACACAACTGAGGCTCATAAAAGCAGTCAAAAAAATCATGCAGAGAACCCCCCATCCTATCAAACACAACTGAGGGCAGACATAGGAGTTGAGTCCATTTTCTTCCTCAGGACTGGCAGTGACAAGGATAAAGGAATCAGGGAAAAAACTGCTAATGGCTACCTAGGATATTAGGAACATGCAGAAAACATTATGTTGTGAGAAACATGAAAATACAATGAGCATTCCTCCTAGACCAAAATCCCCTGTTGCTCATCCTTACATCAGTTTAAATAGGGACCATCTAAATTTCACAGTGACAAGCATTTTCTACAAGACAA